TGTTTGAACAAAGAAAATTTTCATTACATTTACATATATTTGTTGTTGTTGTTGAAATCAATCAGTTCAAGAAACAGCTTGCTTTGTTTTGTGTTTTTTTTACATTGATAAATGCAGCTTTTTATGCTCATGAATAAATTTGCAGTTATTTGTGATCTAATTTTCTTTCACCTTTAATTATACCTACATATATATACACAGCATACTCTGATTTTATTAATTAATGTGTCCTCTTTGGAGGCGGCTCAATTTAGTGCACCAACCTGTTTTATGCAAAATTTTGTTTAGATCCACAATTTGAACTTTTATTCAGATTCATAAATGGTTTTTTTATGATTTTCTTTCATCATTTTCAGTCACTGTTACATTTTGCACGAGTTTCTACATGTTTTCACCAATGAATTCATGTAGGCTCCGCACTGTGCATAAGATAACCAACAGTTATGAAATAAAAACAAATCATTTCAAAATTTAAAACCTTTAGAAGACACTATATTATTTCCAATCAATTTGTGAGTGATAAATTGTTCATATTGATACCCTGACTGTAATTAAATAATGGATTTAGCCACCATGCTGTCACGCATGGTTTTGGCCGCCATTATGTCAGTTTTTAAAACACGAGCCTATTTTTAGATGATAACTTGAAGTCTAAGTTTTAATCTGAATGTTAAAACTGTACATATGAATCTAAATCTATTTGTAGCACACAGTAAACATGTTTAATTCTGATCTAAAGTCAAACATTTAAACATTTTTAAACAGTTTTTTTGGGACTGACTCAATTTTGGAGCCAGCCTCCAGTGACCACTTGACACTCATACTAATATATGTGAGTGTTTTTAAAAAGAGTATATAACGTCTGATTATAATAAGGAAGAGAAGTTCTATGAAAACACTGCTTTGTTTTAATGTCATCTTAGCATTTCTTTTTTAATTTGCAGCTCACCTTTTCATCTTGACTCACTCTAAAAAAAAGTTTCCATGCAAAGTTTTAGGTTATGTACAGAAACAGGAAATAAACCAGAATTCTAATATTAAATTACTTTCACGGAAATAAAGGGCGTAAACTAAAAACCTTTTGTTGCCTCTTCTTCCTTCTTGTATTTCTTTTTCTTCTTCCACCGTCTATCCACTTTTTTCTCCCTCATCTAATTATTCATTGATGCTGTACAATGTTTTTTTTTTTCCTACTCACAGCGTTAAGGAGGTTTCCGGCCTGCAGCACCAGGTGGAGAACAGCATGGAGCTCCTCGCAACACATTAATTCTGGAGGACGGAGACAAAGTAAAAGAAATGATGTCTTTATTTGTGTCAGTACATAAAGGATAAACCAATGCAAAAGCATCACCTGCTGGAAATAACTGTGTAAAAAGAGAGTAGAGAGGAAAAAAAACACAGGGGAAAGGAGGTGAATGTAAAACACAAAACCTGTGCAGTGAAGATACAGATAACATAAGCTTATGATGCTAAAATCCCACTGGGTTTGCTATATTATCACATGCAGTGTTAGCATGTGGAAGGTTAGTTAACAGTTCAGGCAGTTATCAAGTTCACACACACACTGCTAAAAATACTGAAGGTGTTAGTCTGTATTGGGTGGAGGGTGTAAACGAGGAGGAGAAGGCTTTACTGCAGGTATTTCTGCACCAACGACAGACAAAGTGACTTTCAGTCCAGATTTATTGCGTTTTATTTCTTTTCACCTTTTTTATTATTATTTTATTTTTGGAAAAAAATATTCCAGAGTTTCATACACAGATCTCTTTTCTTTCTTTATTTTTTACAACTTCTGAATCAAACGGCTCACTCCTTCACATAAAGGTGAAAGTACTGATTCTGAGACATTGTGACACAACTGAAGCATTAAAAAGCTAAATCTGTGAAAGTGTTTCTAGAAGCTTCTTGGTTATACCTCTGCGCGGTGATTCTGAAGCTAAATGAATCCTCTGAGATCGATGTCATCACTGATGACGACCCCAAACCGAACCTCATGTTTGGAGTCAAGCAAAATAACTTTTCTGTTGGTTTTTAAAGTTTTTGATGGATGTGAGTCGGTGTGATTTCTTTGTTGTTTGTTCATTGCTGAGACACAGAGATAGGGTTCATCAGCAGTAATGAGCTGCATCTCAGAGTGTAACTATAAACATTCTCTATGCAACTTTTAACACGTATTATTTATTGTATAGTTGACCAAACTCCACTTTACCTCAGTGCCCTGATCCCAGTGTCAGGAGTCAAACGTTACTTTTTTCTTTAAATGTAAAATTAATTTTAAAAAGTTGATGAGTTTGCTCTAAAAACATTTACAGCTCCACCACCATCGTTGGTGTTCATGCCATTCTCTCAGTCATTTCATTTCATACGACAGAGATAGAAGCAGTCTGGCCACACAAACTCTACCTGCCTCCTGTAGCACATTTGCTTGTGGTAAGGAATAAAACATTTTAACATACTCAGTGTTGGTTCTAGTCCTTCTCTGCTCTGCGTTGACACTAAGACAATAAGTAAGAGAAGAGAAACCAGAGCTGGGGCCTGTGTGAGCTCCCAACAGCGGCTGCACGCAGAGAGCAGCTCATCCGTGTGCCAATGATGCTGCAAGCGTGTTACCTTTGATGGCGGCACGAAGGATCTTAATGTCCCGTTTCATGGCCTCGCACGCTGCCGGAAAATCCTCCTTTAAGAGCATGGATTCAATGCGGACTGTGTAACTGCAGACCGAGAGAGAGAGAGAGAGAGAGAGAGAGAGGTGAAAATGAATTGATTAATACATTTTTATTTTGCGTCCAAGCTGGTACACATCACTAAATACAGCTAATGCTACTACTTTACATACTCTCGTAGTAACTGTATACCAGCAGCTGGCAATTAGTTTGAACTGTGGGACTATTTTTAGCGTATCTCATTAAGGAGATGTTGTTATTGGTTTGTGGGGGAGCTGCAGGCATGTAATTGATTCAGCTTGATGTTTTTGAAATGATCTGAAGGCAGATGTCACATTACCAGCGCTCCAGCAGCAGCTACTTACTAACATTTGTTTGTTTTGTTGAGCACAAATTGATGCATTAACGGTTATGATTCCTGAGTCAATGTGAGTCAGCTCTCTTAACTGTCACAAGGTCCTGTTTAATGATACAAAAACATTTTTTCCCCACTTAGAGCTAGAGCTGGTACACAGACCACTTTTCCCCAACACTGTTTCACACCAGTGCATCATGTTTTCAATGTATAAATTCAAAGTAACCACTGTACAGCCAGTAAAAGTATTTATGTTTAATGTTGTAAGTTGTTAAGAAAAATAATTATTTTTTAATGTGTATCTGCTCATTATATTGTTTTATGTGCTTTAATAATGAAGGCTTGTAGAGCAAGGCCACTTTTGACAAACTAAGTGCTCAGCCAGACTGAAAAACAGGAAGTTTTAGTGCACAGGCATATTAATAGATAAAGACACAGAAAAGAGGAACTTTCCATATAAGCAATGTTTGAAACTGTGTGTGACGTCTGAAGTACAGAAATAACACCATATAAGACACATGTTGAGCTAAAAATGTTAGAGCTCTTGCAGCTGGCGTTTGAGCTGTGCAGGGGTCTTTCTCTTCCGGAAGATGATTGAATAAAAAGAAATATAAATGTTTTAACACACTATGAGTCAGTTTTCTCTGTTCTATCATGGGGATAAAAGAATCGGGGTTTAATATTTGGTGTTTCCGCCCGGTTCGCCATGCAACAGAGAGAACAAATGTGGTCGAAGGTTTGATCTGATATGAGGCGAACAGAAGACCGGTCTAAAAAGATTTAAAGGTAGGCACAAACCTGTTCAATAAGCAAATTTGTGCAAAGTAAAGTACTACAAAAATGTACTTTTTTGGTGCAGTATTTCAGTGAATGCAACGGTGAAACTGTACAGACAGTGGAAGTATTTTCAGTGTGAAACTGTTTCACCACATTGACATGGATCTTGCATGAATATCGGAAATGTTAAAAAAAGATCATAATGGTTTAATTCTAATTTCTGAAACTTGCAGTGAAAGTTGAACGCAGCATAAAACTGAATAACTAAGTAAAAGTCCAGCGCTCACCTGGGCACCTGAATCAGCCGGTACATGAAGGAATCGGCCAATGAGAGCTGAGAGACTTCGCCACGGTGTGCCTTCAGTTTCTTCACCTTCATGAGTGCAAAAAGATGGATCAGATAAAAAAAAAACACATCAATGTGTGTGTGTGTGTGTGTGTGTGTGTGTGTGTGTGTGTGTGTGTGTGTGTGTGTGTGAGACCTCTTCAGACTCTGGCAGCAGTTTCAGCATTTCTCTCAGACGCTCCACCCCAAAAGCCTCACTGTTGCCATGGCAGATTTCATCTACTATGGTCTCATTGGACCTGGAGGAAGAAGATGTTTAAATTTAGTGTGAGAAGCGATATAAAAAACAAACAAACACAACACTCATTGTGCTGAAATTAAGAATTAAAATGGCATCAAAATAACATTACACTAAGCTGATCTGGGTTTTCCCCCCCACAGAGATTTAATTACCATCTGTACACGTACAAGGTACACTCAGTTCACTCTGTCAGGTTAAAATTAAAACAAGAAAATAAATAATTTAAGACACAGTTTTATCACTTTGTTAACTCCAACCTTTTGCTTTTAAATGATAATTTCATTTTCAACATTGAAACAATGTTATATATTCATTCAGGAATTAGCCTGAGACGACATTTATAGTTATTTTTCTGTTGACTGGAAGCACCTTCCCTGTTACTTAAAGTAAAATAAAATGGACAAAATAACTTCTTTAAGTAATTAACTTCAGTGCCGATACACATCCAGTTTATTTTAACCTACACAGTGGATAAAGAAAAACTCCATAAATAAATCCTGTAATGCAAATTTTGTAACTTATTGTACTGTTGTTAGGAGATAGAAACTTTCTTGCACAGAGTTATTGTGCAAAGCTGCTTTCAAGGTCATGAGGAATTCCATAAACTTAAGATTTTCCTATTTGATATCCAGTTTTTGTATTTTTCGCTGAAACCTTAAATTTGCTTTAATGAGTACAGAACACACTTTCACAGTTAGGCCAAGTACAAAAAGACTGAAATTCTGATGTCAGAGTTCATGAAAACCGCTTCTTGACTGAGTGACCTGAATAAACTGGACAGGCATGTTCTGTCAGATCATTCCACCACGTAGAACTTCCTTGTACATATTTTTACACTCTGTTATAAATGCAACATGATCTCACAGAGTTTGCAGATGTATTAACAAGTTTTAGTAACATGCTCTGGACATACTTTTAAAATGCGATTTTCTAAGCAACAAGCCCTAAAATGAGAAAAGCAAAAATCCCACATTTGAAATTTTGTTTCCTTAATTTTATGACAAAGAAAATTTGTGTTTTTGTAACAGTGTTTTCTGAATACTGTCTGTCAGTGCTGTTTACATCTGTCAAAATCTCAGCCGAGGATATCTGAAAGTGGATTTGTGGGTTTAGAAGTTGTTGGCCATCTGTGTGTGTGTGGGGGGGGGGGTTGTTGGTCGGAGAGCTGTTTGTCACATATTAAGTGATCGTTCATTGGAATCCGCTGTGACGCTAATGATTGTCTCCGCTGCTCTCTTACCTGTCTGAAAGAAGTTGGCTTTAAATTTACGGCAGTGATTTATCAGAGATGTGCAGAGCATGGAAGTGTGAGAAATAGATACAGGTGGTTAACAGTGAGTCTTTACAGTTGTCTGTACAACCTGGTGGAGTCTTTCATGTTTTAAGGCTGCATTTCAGTAAATGGTGTTGGAGACCTTGTTAAAATGGAAGAACTATGAACAAAGAAAAGTCAGATTTTGACACACTGCACAAGTCTGGAAGGCATTTGATTGGTAAAGACTTCATTTTTCAACATCAGAATAATCCCAAACACATTGTCAATTACAGGAAAAGAACACCTTGACAATACCTGGACCTGCACAATAAAATGGTATCAGTCATGGACTGGCGTCCCCTGAGCCCAAATCTCAACATAACTGAAGCAGTGTGAGAACAGAACAAACAAAGCAAAAAAACACATCCAAAGAAGAGTTTTGAATGTCCTTCAAGAAGCCTGGAGAACTATTCCTGAAGACTGTTTAAGAAAGTTCAGGCTGTGCTGAAGAACAAAGGTGATCCTGCTAAATATAGATTTTCAAGTCTTGTCTTATATACTGGGTTTCCATGTATGTTTTCTCACGTTGTAATAAATCGCTGCACCTTTTTTTTTTAACCATTTCCTTAGAAAAGTATAAAGAAGTGCAGGGCAGCTCGAACATTTTGCACAGTCATCCCAAAGTATATTTCCTGGAGCAGATGGCTGTGTCTTTTACTTCCCACTTCTCGAAATTGTTACTTTGTTGTTGGAAAAGTTAAAAGTACTTATACCCAAGTCTCGATGCATGCTTAATCATCCAGGTAAGGAAATCCTGATGAGTGACGAAACTTTTCTCCACCTGGAAACGTTACGTCTGGATGAACAGAACTAACTTTTTGGGTACTTTTAGCTCGGTGTTAAAGCAGCTGCAAAACCTTCAGCTTAATTTGAAACTGAATGACAGAGTTTTTGTGGATATTGTACATCGTGAACATAAAATGATGCAATACAATCCAGATTCTTCTCTAATTGATTTCAGGTATAGTTGCTGTACATTCCTGCTCTCCGTCTCCCACATGCCTGTATGTCCCTCAGTGTGTTTGGTAAGCACTAAGTCTCAACATGGTGACCTGAATGATTCAGCACATTCATTCAATACATCCTCTAAGCTTAGCCGACTTACTCACCTTGTGGACACTTTTTACGTGACTTCCTGTCTCTATATTAAGCTGTGGTGACGATGTAAAATCCTCAGCGAGGTATAAATGTAAAAAAGGTGAAGGAAGGTTTAGATAAAGGAAGTTTTTTCATTCTTTGAACTACATTAAAGCTTCATGAATACGTATCTATGAACAATATAAATGCAGTGTGTCAAGCAGCATTGCGGTGACCTTACCATGAATGGGTTACAAGACAGCAGGCCCCTGGGGAAAGAGATGCACAAGACCACCAACCCTCCTACAGAGGATTAAG